ACGCTCCATTAGTTCGTAGTAGACTGGCCGCGTAGTCAAAACGAAAAATGCCTAATAAGCCTGTGACTACCGTGCCCTGCTCAGTTAGCACCTAGTTACCTAGTGCTGAAGCACCTTTCCCTCTCCTCATGTCACCGTGTCAAAAACAATATTTACCTATAAAATTCAGTAACAGGCGTGGTTTGGTTTTGGTACGTTTCTAGCCTCGCCCAAACAGTTTCTGGTTTATCATCATCCCTCTGTATTAAATTCTCTCCGGTAATATCATCTTTTCCCTACGAAATGAAATAATTGATGTTGATCCTGCCTTAGTACTGCTTATGGGAAGAAATTCCTGTGGATATTCAACAATCAACATCAATTGGAAGTTTCAGATCAGCCCTTACAAAACACTTCCTTTCAATGTATTAGTTGATTGTTTATGGATCAATAATATCCTCTTTTTTGTTGCTTTTTGTTTTTCCCTCCTTTACATTTTCTTTGTTTATTTCTGTTGTTTGTTACTTTTTTTGCAGTTGAAGGTAATTTTTTTATATTTTTATTTATTTTTTTTTGTGGTTAATTTGATGTTTTTAATTTGAGCTGTTAATTTCTAGTTAAGATGTTGGATAAGAGTGCAAGTTTTTCTTGTTCGGGTTTATGCCCATTCTCTTTCCTGGCAATACTGGAACATGTCTTTTTGATGCCAAATAAATATTATTTATTTATTATTTATATTATTTACTGGATGTCTATATATCATTGTATAATTGTTTTGTGATGACAATGTTGTAGATGTTCAAAAGTAAATTTTTATATTAAAAATAAAATAGATTTATTATTTAAACTTACACTGGTAGGTATTTACAAAAAATAGTATTTTACCTCAACTTTCGGTGGACTCCATAATAAGTTATAAACTCGTCCACTTCCTGGATGGACCCAGCGGCTTTCAAGTCGTTTCACAATCTCATCAAATGGAATGTCTAAATTTATTACAGTGTCAATTTGTTGCTCCTTCATCAATGCCTCTGCTTGGGTCACTGTTCTGGGGAAACCTTGAAATAAACAATGGAATTTTGATATTATGTTTGTGATCAAGAATAAATTGAATACTCTTTGCCATTGGTTATGAAATTGTTCTATCCTTGGTTGTGCAAAGTAGTTTGAGATCTGATGAAGAACATGAACTTCAAGTATTGGTGAATAAGGAATGTTGAGAAAATATACGTATCAACGAACGATGTATGTTTAAGTAGTATATAATTGAAATACGAATGAAATAATGAATAACAATAACCACCCTCTGTAGCATGATTATAACTGGCTAGATCAGGCAGGTGTCTTAGGAGCACTCAGTGCATAGAACAAACCAACATTTGAAATCATTTATCGACTACTATTCGTGCCAAAAGATAGCTGCAAATCACCTATCAATTCATGTTGAATTCGCATAGGCCTTTATTAATGTATACTGACTGTTTTTAATCTTTTAAATTATGTATAATAATATTGATATTTATAAATGAATTTGAAATGTATATTGTGTTTCGATGATTGTGCCTATGAGGTAAAATAAATTCTGAACTGTATTCAGAAGTATTTTTAAGGTCATGAAGTGACATACCATCAAGGAGCCAATTAAGAGATGTCATGTTTTTCAATTCACTCACTATCAAGTGCACCATCAAGTCATCTGGAACCAGCTTGCCTTCCTGTATAAATTCATCAGCTTTCAGGCCAGCAGCTTCATATCAGAAAAAAACAATATAACAAATGTTACATCACTGAATATTATTCTGGTATATGTTGAATAAGTAGCAATTTATTTTACATATTAATGTATACAACATCTTGTTCCTATTCAAGCATGGTTATTATAATTTATCTTTGTTTATGGTGCTATGCAGCAAACCTAATTTGAATATTATATATTGTATGGTTAATTCCAAACTGTGACCGAAGAAGCTTTATCCATAACTCCCACTTTGTGTGAGTGTTTCAGTCATTTATATGAAAGTGTCTGAGGGTAAGATCTGCATGTATATTCTATAGGTCTAATATAGTCGCCCTGATAGCAAGAGGTTGCAGGTTCAAATCCCACCAGACACTCTTTTTTCATACAAAACAACTGAATAAAGGAACTTATTTTTCATATTCGAGCATGATTCATCTATTTGTTTATGCCCTGTTAAAGAGACCATTATCAGTCCTAGCTTATTTGAGCAATTTCTTATACAAATGCATAGGTAGGCCTAGGCCCTTAGCCTTGCTGTCTTGCAGGTAGAGAAGCCGGGGATGTAGTAGATATCAGCGCGATATCAGAGATGGTTTTCCCCTATCATTGACATGGTTGGCTACCTGTTTTTTCGTTGATTTGTGAACGTAACAGATCTCCGCTTGATAAATGTTTTAAACCAAAGTCACGAACAATCCTTGAAGATATTGTACCCTTTCCAGCCCCTGGAGGTCCCATTATAACGGCTCTAAATACTTTCGAAATCATAGTTGGTGTAACAGAAAGTAAAATTAAAGTAAATTTGATGGTCAAACTAATCCAAACGTTCATCTGTGAACACACACTTCTGTTTTGACTAGTTTACTTTTGTCCAGACTCTATGTTTTCATAAAATATTGCGCGGCCTTAGCATTAATACACTGACGCATTTAGCGCCTGGACTACTGTAACCAGTTGAAAGGTTAACCATGTGGCAACGCATTGGCCTCCTCCTACTTCGTCGTCGTACCTCTGCTACAGAACGTTCGCAATTTTTATCCATAATATTTAATTCATGTGTGTTACTTCAGCATATAGGCCTACATTTAACAGCTTATATCTCAGTTAGTAATCACATACTCACTTTTTTTACGTTTCTTTTCCTCCTAGATCCAGGAAGGCCATTCATTCAAACTGCTGATCTTCTTGCAATGCTAGGACTATACCGGACTACTAGGCCTATGCCTAGCCCCTAGCTAGGCCTACTGCTAGGCATACTGCTAGGCATAGTAGTAGGAAGCCTAGCTAGGGCCATATATATATATATATATATATATATATAGACCTAGCCTACCACCTAGGCCCTAGCTGGGCGGTATTCAGGGAGGTCTCCCTAGCCTAGCAGCTTGCTGTCGTAGCTACCTAGGCTAGGGAGTATCGTAGTATTAATAAATAGGTCTAATATTGTAGCGAGCCTCTTAGGCTTAGACTAAGCCTTAGTACTAGTAGGGCTAGCAGTGAGTGGGAAACCGTGAGTGGCAGTGCCAGTGTAGGACATACCTGCCACCCCTACCGATTTACGTGGTATGGGCTAAGTTTACTGATTTTTTCACTTTTCTACCGAATTAGCAGGCTGTTCCTACCTGGTTTTTTTTTTAAATCAAAAATAAATTGAAAATCTAAGAATAAGTTAAAGGTTAAGGTTAAACTATTCCGCCCTGCCGCTGTTTGTAAGAGAATACGACCATTTTAAACAGCGATAAGGTAAACAAACGGCATCCCTCATGTTTTATAATAGTCTATGTCAAGCAGACTGTGCTGGTTCTCATGTGGCAGTTGGCATGGATACCATCCTCTTTGGTACTTTGGTGATCGGAGCTGTTTCTTTTCTTCGAATAAGCTGTTCCTTTTTGTGCATTAAAATGAGTAAAGCTGCGAGGTCGAATAATAAACACTAACAGTGGACCAGAAACCACAATTTTAACTTTTATTAAGCCATTAAGGAAAGGACAATGTCATGCATTCTGTGAGAATTGTACGTCCGATTTTTCCATAAGACACCATGGTGGCTACAATGATGTGACTAGACCCTAGCCTAGCCAAGGGGAATAGCAGAGCAGTGAGCAACATGGTTGTACATATGTTCAGGCCCTTAGCGCAAAATAAAAGTGTAATCAACGCAGAAGTATTGTTCCAGGGTTTTGTAATAGAACATAATTTGCCACAAACAATTTTCCCAATAGGAAAATGGCAGTAGTGACGAGGAAGATCAATTTTTTGCTGTTCTTATTTCCCACTAGGCCTAGTACAGAATCCATGTACTGTGGATATGTAGCCAAGGTCGAACATCTTCTTAATGTTTTAACCCTAACCATAACTCATTGCAAAAGATATTCGACCTCCGCTGCGCACCCGCGGTCCATGCATCGCACCTGATCCAAACTCTACTGGCTGTAGACCAAGGCCTACAGTATTTTTTTGTACCGGAAATCGATTATTTAAGCCCTTAACTTTACTGAAATGTTATAGCTTTCAGGTGGCTGTTCCCCCGGACCACCCCCAATAGGGAGGGGGGACAACCCCTCCCTATGGGCCTCCGAGAGGCCCATTCTGGGCCTACCAGCTACCCAATTTTAAAATCTTTAAAGGCCATTAGTCCAGCCTTAAAATACTTGGAATAATTATAGGTTAGGCCTAGCGTAATAGATATAAATGATGTTCACTTACCGTACATCAAAATACGATATACAAAACACATTTATTTTCCTGATGTCCATATGGAATGCATTTTGGAATCTACATATTTTTTTTTTTTTACCTGATACAGACTCAGATTAATTGCATTTATTATGTTCATATTTTATATTACATTCATTTACAGCCACCAATCATGGAAAAGAAGAAAAGCCGATCTATCGCAAACTCTGGCAAGATCAAAATGCAGAAGAAACTTGTCAAGTCCAGTGATAAAAAGAAGAAAACTTTGAAAAAAGAAAGTATGAGTGTCAAGGACAAAATTTTCAAAGAAAAATCATTAAAGTTTGCAGAAATGGATTTTGAAGATATTGTTGCTGCAGAAGGCGATGGAGAAGAACAAATGGAAGCTAAGGAAATGAAAGAATCAAAACGTATGAAAAAAGAAAAGCCAGAAAAAGGGACGAAACGGAAGAGTACTGAAGGTACTTACAATTTAGTGTTATCTTCTGTAAGGTGATCAGTAAATTGTGAGAGTAGAAAGTTCCTTTAAGGCTCTGAAAACATAAAGTTACAAATACTTTTAATTTTGCCCGTATATTGTATGAGTATAGGACATCATCATGCCCATATAGTATAGGCCTTCCCTAGACTTGCATGTATCCCCCTACAGTGATTAATCTTCTTCAGACAACTGAGTTACTGGTGGGGATTCTTTTATATGCTACATATGTAAATATTGGAATACGGTATTGTTGTTTCCATTGTAATTTACGCTAAATACTAACACACCACCATACATGGAGTGTAAGAGGTACGCAGCAATGTTGGTGATAGATAGCGCCCTTTCCTAATTGGATTTGTTCATATGGGCAAATCACACTAATTTGTTGATCAGTACTGTACTACTATAATACATCAATGTTTGTTTCTTATGACAATATTTTCTTGAATTTTTAACGAATAACAGTTAATTATAGAATCTTCTAAATTATTTAGATTTAAATACAGTTGAACTTGCCTAAGTCGAATCCAAAATGGCATTGAAAAACTGTTCAACTTGGATAAATAAGAAAGTTTTAATAGAAAATTCAACAATTTGGCATGTAAAATAAGATCGAACTAAATTACAGTACTTAGGTTAGGCAAAGTCGACTTAGGTAAGTTTTACACTCTGAAGTGGAATTTGATTTCACCAAAACTACATATTCAGAAGACATTAGATATTCTTATTTCCATTGCAGTACTACACATACAGTATAGTAACTTGGGATGGAAAATTAAGCAAAAATTGATGATAGTGTCATTCCATTTAGCATTAGGTTAATCATAATGAATTACAGATTAATTAATATCACCAAGATTCATTATAGTACTTACAGTTCGTCTAATAAAAGCATTAAATTATATTGAATTTGTAAATGTTTTTAAGAAATGTTGATATATACTAGTTATAAACAAATTACTATTAAATTGTTATACTTTTGCTTGTAATTCCAAGATCCAGATAAACCAGACCTCTTGCAGATGAGTAAAAAACAACGGAAAGATGTCCGAAAACAGGTGAAAACAAACTATGAATTGGCACAGAAAAGCAAGAAAATGTGGGAAGTGTTACGACAGTAAGTTCGCTCTTGAATGTCACCCACCCAAACCCAAGGTTAAATAATGATCCTTTAATAATAATAATAATACCAAGGTACATAACAACGAGTAACTTAATATGAAACTTAATACTGTTACAGATTTTTTTTTTTAGTGCTCGTACATATTTCAAAAGGATGCTCAAGATGTCAATGGACCTTTTTGGTGTCTCATTTAGACTTAACAAACGACCAATCAAAACATGTTATTTAATAGCCAAGAGTGTGCATGTGTCTCACAAACACACAAGTTGACATACAGTATGTTTACTATCTTTAAGCAGTATCAAAAGGAACGGGGTTAGCAGAGGTCCACTGAGCTAAATATGAAAAGCAAAGGAATGATTTAACTTTATGCTTGTAGTATCTGACTAACTTACCAAAAAATCCAAGTAACCAAGTTCAAAATATCCAATATACAGTACATATCCTGAAATTAAATAACTGACTTTTTTCAGGGAAAAATGTAGCAAGGAAAAGCGTCAAGAAATTCTAAATGAATTAAGGGAACTTGTTAGTGGTAAAGTTTTGGAGGTACGGTACTTTTTATGTCTTATATATAATATTCTAAATTGAGAGAAGATATTTCATATATGTGTGCTGCTAATGATCAGCTCTACAATAGTGAATTGCTAACATGGGTCAAATCCAGGTTCTTCAAAACAAAAGGTGTGGTATAGGTTTCAGAATTTTGCTTAACAAGATTATTATTAATCTAAAATTTTATATTCTGTAAGACAGTCATATTAATAACAATAATCAAATATTTGTAATGTGCCAATTTCATAATGACAAAGGTGGAATGTTTCCTTTGAGTTATAAAAATGTGTTTTAAAATTTACTTATTGTTATTTTGTTATTTTTTTCTTTCTGCTTGTTTATGCTCATGATTCCGTACGAGTTATCCAATGCTGTTTGAAGTTTGGAGATAAAAGCCTACATAGTGACATGTTTAATGAAGTCAAAGGTGGATATTATAAGTTTATTTAAATATTTTGAATGCTGCCCTCTGTGTCAATTATTTGTTGGGTTAATTGAATTTCATGTTACTACTACTAGCTTTTATGTTTACTGCACTCAACAACAAATACTTGAACAGTTTTTTAAACAAAAATTATACCGTTTTGATATGGGTGTGGTTAGATTTCAGAAGGGTCCAGTCCATATAAAACAATTTGTGGTGGTATAATTTTTTTCCATCTTAAAAAGAGAAAGTTGTGAGGTTTTGTGTTATGCTTATTTGTGAAATTAAAGTTTATTTAATTGTTTGATTGATTGATTGATTGAAACAATACAAAGCCCAAATTGTAGAAATATGATAAAGCATATCATATCAACGTCTTTGTAAGATTTTTCATGTTTAAGATACTTTGTATTTTTAATGTATAATTCTTGATTTTGGCAGTGATGGGGTTGTAAACTTGAATTTCGCAAATATATTGTATTGAATTTAATGGTGCTTTTAATCTACTACTCCTTGAAAGAAAACAAATGTATAAGTTTTTTTACACTGTAATCATGTAATTCATCCATATTTCACTATACTTACTATACTACAAAAATTTAAGTTCAACAAAGTGTTATTGTTAATAGTAATCACCAACACAATGTCAAGTTAATATTAATAGGTTAATTAAGTAATTCCTATATTTTAGAACAAAGGTGCAACAGAAAATAGATATAAAAGGTTATTAGGCTTTGTCCAGATTATCAAATTTTGTTGTATGCCCATTAATATTTTGTAGTCATGATTGTGCCTATATTCAGATTCAGATTCAGATATTTATTACGTCAAAATGTCAATGCATCATGATAATTGGTTTCCACTAAATACTTGGATATGCCCATTATATGTTGTAGTCATTAGCATCCCTAATTTTTTTTTTTTTTAACTATGTAATCATATTTGAACTTTAAACTGTAGTTTAGTTTATTAATTTGCTGTTTTTCTCTTTTTGATAGATCACATCCTCAATATGTCAAAGTGTAAGTACGCTAAATTTTTTGTAAAGCAGATGTTGCGATATGGTACAAAAGAACAGCGTAACCATATAATGTCGTCGTTCCACGGTAGCGTATGCAAAATGGTACGGCACAAGGAAGCTTCAGAGGTTATTGAGATGGCCTACAACAACCATGCTAATTTAAAGCAGAGGTCTGCACTTCTTGAGGAGTTCTATGGTCCTTCTTTTGCAGTGTTTAAAGTAAGTAAATTGTATATTTATACATACCCATTGTTATTGTCAGTAGTTGAATTATTTTACATAATTGTTTGCGAGAAGACAATATATTTACATATTAGAAATCACTGATGTTTATTTCTTGCCAATTCTTATCGATGTTCTATAAAATTTGTATGAAACTTATTTTACCTGTAGAAAGATGGGGTTGAGAGTCTCAGTGACATAATTGAAGCTGAGCCGGAGAAAAAACGTCAAATCACGGAGCACATGGCAAAAACACTTACCTCCATGGTTGACAAGTAAGGATTTCTGTAGTCTAGCTGCATTTTAAAATAATATTTTGAAAACCCATTATTTATTATTTATGAACAGTTAAGCAATATTGATATTGAATTTTATTCTTCATGTTATTAGTGCATTTAAGTTATTTAACAGAAACATTCATTTTTTCCTTATTTTGAATTAAACCCAAGCCCATCTGACTATTGTTCAGTATTTAGTTTTGATTGGTTGATCTGGTTTGGATTCCAGTCCCAATGGGAAAGATATGTTTTCTTTAAACCATATATTATTATTGTAATTATAATTATTTCTCTCTTACAGGACAGTTATCAAACGCACTATGATTCACAAAGTATTGTATGATTTCTTTGTTCATGCACGTCCAAAACTAAGATCTGTAAGTGAATTATACTACAGGTCTTTCTCTAATTAAAGACCCCTCCATTTAAAACCACTTCTATGTGGTCCCAAATTAACAAATGTCTCTTATCTTTATTCTAATTAGAGACCAAAGCTCTAAAGACCATGGAAACCCTGGTCTCAAAAGTGGTCTTTGAAACAATAGGTGATAAACATGTGTATTTATAGAGTATTTAAATGCAATTCGTACATCCATTTAATATGTTTTTCACTATGTCATATGATATTATCTTTCTATTTTTTTATATGTCTTTTGACATTCCAGTCATTTAAATATGTTGTACTACTAGAGGTTTAATAGTCATGTAGAATCAGAATTTTATTTTGTATTCTGAACTGGATTTCATGTGCATTACTTAAATATGAATTAATGTTATGCTCACAATATTTTATATACTAGTACTAAGCAATCATAGAAAAGAATTTTTTTATATACAAGAAATGTAGTAATATTCTTAAATTTGTTTAATTCTGTTTGTAGGAAATGATAGAATCTATAAGAGAGGTCGTTGTTCAAATTCTTCATACCCATGATGGAGCTCGAGTTGCAATGCAATGTGTCTGGCATGGCACAGCAAAGGTAATCAGTGATATAAAATGTAAAGAAGCTATGAAACTAAAACCAAACTAAAAGCAGTCATAGCAAAGGTAATCAGTGATATAAAATGTAAAGAAGCTATGAAACTAAAACCAAACTAAAAGCAGTCATAATGATATTATATAGATGCATTGTTAGCATCAGGATCTAAACTCAATTTTTGAACAACAATTTGCTGTTCAGAGCTATAATGCCAGGCTGGTAGACTCGTATTTTGATTTCCTTTTAACTATTATAGTATGTAATTTTTATATGTTATTATCAATATTAGATGCTTAATTGTTATCATTATTTTCTTTACACTCTCAAATTGGCTTGTAATTACATTTAAGTTTTCCTAGTTAAAAATTAAACAATGAATTTTGTTGATCTGGATCTCATTGGATGTTGATAGCTTGATTTTTTAATGAGCAATTCAATATTTGGGATTTTACAGAAAGTATTTTTAAGTTAAAGAGGTTAACATCTACTGTACAGTACATTCATTATCATGGTGCATTTTTGCTGCTGATTATTTTGTTGTGACCAAGAATTACATTTGGCTGTCAGCCAATTGTCATGTACTGTAGATAACATTGTCTTGTTTTTATTGTAGGCATACTGTATCAGGCAGATGCTGTACAGATAATAAAGTGATTTTGTGTTTAGTTTGTGTCATATAATACAAAGATAACATTTGTCTTGTGATTTCAAATTCAAAGTGTCATATGACATCTATTTGAATAACGCATGTCCTATAGTTATACATTGTTTGCATAAGTAAGCAACCAACTTCAATATTTTCATAATCTTAGTGCTGTTTTCAATTCATATAAAATGTTCATACCATAAAACTTAGACAAGCCTACAAATTGCAACTTCTTTATTTTATTGCTATATAAATTAAAGTGCTACAGTTTATATATTATTATTAGAAAGCATAACTCATGTTTTGTTTGAGCTTTCTGAGTATTGTAATATTGTAGTTTAATTGCATAAAAAATGTATATTTAAAGTTTGATATATAGAATGGGTTTTCAATGGTTTAATTTGGTCAGTTTATTAAGACCATATTAGTGAGATCTTTCAAGCCTTCAAAGATGATAATGTACACATCTTCTTTTATTTATTTAATTTATGCCTCTGCATTTAAAAGTGTTTTTTTTTTATTTCGCTCCCCATTCGTCCTTAATCTCTGTACTCTTTGAATTTCTTTTTTGTTCTAGTACGAACTTACAAAATTTAACGGGGACTTTTTTAGTGTCATCATCACCATTTATGTAGCCCAGATCTGCCTCCCAATAGATTTTAGTTTGATATCAAAAATTTTAAAATAAATGACAATTTATAAATTACCCATAGTTTTTATATTAGTCATAATTAGGTACTTAGCCTTAGACGCCTATCTGTTTTGCACATAATGGATGTAACCAAATTGACTGTGCTTGCAAATGATCTTGCGTAGTCTTTGAGCACTGATTATTTGACATAACACAAAACTTATTCTTTTTTCCTTGTGGTTTTCATCATAGGATCGTAAAGTTGTTATGAAGTCCTTCAAGACGTACGTCAGTAAGATCTGCCGTGAAGAGTATCGTCATTGGGTGGTGTTGGCGTTGTTGGACTCGGTGGATGACACAAAGCTAATTTCCAAGATTGTCCTTTCTGTGAGTATTCTGACAATCATTTGTTGACAATAACTGTGTATTGTTATTTCAAAAACCTTGTTATTTTTTTATTCTTTTTAACTGATTAACATTAACTAAATTCAAAATTATTTTGAATAGAATATTAGTTAAGTCATCATTATTGCATATTAACTTTTATTAAACATGTGCGGTATATTGTTTGTGGTAAAGTCTGAAAAAACCATAAGTAAAATACTGAATTGCTTGTTTGACTTCTCCGCCTGGGCTGCTTTAGTAAGGTTTCAGATAAGGTCTTTCCAGCATGACTTATCTTTTGCAAGATCTTTGATGGTGTAGAGATAGTTAAGTGATTGTAATTTTAGGTTGTGTTTGTTATTGATGAGTGATTTGAGGTCTGTTTTGAGGGAGGCGCTTTACAAATTGCAAATTATTATTATTATTATGATTATCTGTAAAGTCATTCTGAGTCTGCCTCTGAACTTCAGTTGCTTGTTTAAGAGGGTTAAATATGAGACACAGATTGAACCAATTCAGTTTTCACTGGTTGGTAGACTTAGGTTATTTGCCAGCCACATGTCGTGAGAGAAAATAACAGGAGTCCCAAGTCTCTGGGAGTCAAAACCTGATCAGCTGGTGATGGGTGCAACTTATTAGATATAGTTAGATATGATAAGAAAGTTCATTTAACCAGATATCCCATATTGAACTTAGATTTGATGAAAAAAATTAATAGTTTTATGGTGCATTGTTATTTCAAAATTGTGCCATTATCTTATAAAAACACGGTTTAATGTTTCATTAAGTGAATAGAAAGTCAATGATAGGTTTAGTCACGCAATTCCTGTTTTGAAAAGAAACGGTATAATGGTTACATAAAATTTATTTGATTAATATGGAAAATGTTTGATTGTGAACTCACCATATTATTCATTTTATGTATCATCATGTTACAGATATGAAAATACTTCCTACTGTTCATCAGATTTTTTAAAAGATAAATACTCTCGGTGTAGGTAGAAATCATCTGAAAATTCAAACAAAACATGGAAATTGCTTGTTTAAACAGAGTTAATTAACAACTTCCTCTTAGACTGGTTCAGTAATTCAGTTTTCTTTTGATTTTCACATCTTTTCAAAATAAAACCCTAAAATGTCTGTCTATTGTATTAAGGGTGTACGCGAAATGTAAGAATATTATATATTTATGGATGTGCATGGTAATTGGCAAAGAATATATATTATTTTCTTCTCAAAGAATTTCATCTTGTTTCATAAAATATTGAATTGAAGTTGTCTCTTGTCTTGATAAACCCAATAATTTTTAGTAAACTCACTTTCTACAGATTCAGTAACCTTGATCACTGAAGCCCAGCAAGATTTAAAAATCTATTAAATTATTGGATTATCAAGAGATAACTTCAAATAGATATTATTTTCTTGTTCTAATTTTAACTTTATGGAGCTCAAATAATACATTTTATTTCTTATTCCAGTTTATTAACTCAGCTCAACATTTATATCTTCAAGCAGTTTGATGATGATTTCAAATCTCTATCAAACTATACTGTATATATATACTAAATATAACATCATCAAGTCCATACATATGGACAAATCACAGATATTTGTCACATAGAACTTAGTAGCGTGTACAGAGCTTTAATTAATTATTTTGTCATGATTTAGAATGGCTTTGGTATTTTCCATAACCTGGAGGGGCTCACTCTTGAACATTTCTATACGGGGAGGTGCTGCATTTACAGGGTATATTTTCGAGGACTTGGTAGCACAAGTGTGGAAAATATGGGGGGGGGGAGGAGTTGCCGTATTTATGGGGTATACTTGCGAATTTGTAGCACAAGCTGAACAAGCCTCATGGCTAAAAAAAGGGCCAACAAAACACATCGATTCAGATGTTCTAAAGTAAATTCTGAGTGAAGCAATGATTTTTTAGGCATTGCTAGTTACGGTACCCATGTCTAAGGAAAGGGTCAATATGCGCTCTCTGCAATGTCATAGCCAGGATTTTTTTAACATTGTGGGACAATATCAGGGTGGACCCACTTTACGCATAAATTCAAATAATGTGGATACATTTTCTTAAAAGTTGTCCAATTTTATGCAAAAATATGACTAATCTGGTCCCATTTGCTTAGAAATTTACCCATTTTACGCAAAATATGAGAAATCTCGACCCATTTTACTAAAAAAATTAGAAATCTGGTCTCAATTTTAAAATGTGGACCCATTCTTTGTGGTCCCATTAGAAAAATTGTGTGGGACTGTCCCAATAGCTGGCTACGGCATTGGCTCTATGTAGGAGTGCAGACGCCTAGAAAGTACATACTGTATTATTAATATTAAGGGTCTCGCATTATCAATATATGATGCTTCACCTTCATGAATAAATAAAATGATAACCGTCTATGGATGGTAGATTATGGTTGTTATTGTAGATTGTCCGTTTTATTATAATTTCTGAGGAATGGCATACTGTAGGTCTAGGCTTTCATATGATACCCTATACAAATGAACAACACCTCAAATTATATAAAATTATTAATGATGATCATTGATGCTTTACTTTCATGAATACATTGATACCTGTCTATATGGACGACAGATGATGGTTATTGTAGACTTTTCGGTTTATTATAATTTTTGAGAAATTGTGTAGACCTATGTTTTTATATGATACACTATACAATGGGTCATTAACATGTTATATAATCCAGAGTAAACATGTTTTTCGACTGCTGTGGCTATACACCCCAAATGTTTGCATTTAGAGTTCAAAGTCCCTATTATAAAAATGCTCACCCTGAACCCAATATTTTAGACAACATACCATTAGTTGTTGTTCAGAAGTTGTTCAAACTATTGCGTAGGACGCCAGACCTAACAGAATAAGGTTAGTGTTCTCATGTATTTCTATTCATAATAAAGTATTATAGGGAACGGCCAAATTATTGTGCTTTTATTTTCCTTTCAATTACTTTTCCTTTTTTCCTCTTATTTTTTTTACTACGTTTTTCTTCATTTTACCTTTCCTAGTTATTTGTCTTTATTTTTTTCTTCCTTTCCTTTCTAATTCTGTACTTCCATAATGTTGTTTTCCTATATTCTCCTTTATTTTCCCTTCCATTCTTCTTATCTATTCTTTTATTATCTACCTTTCTTTACCACAGGGGCTGATCTGGGTTCAAATTTAGGAGGGGGGTCATAATGTTTCCAAAAAACCTCAAAAAAGAAAGGGGGTACGGGGTCTTCCCCCGGGAAAATATTGATTCCTAGATGGTGGGAAATGAGCTTTCCCAACTTTTGGAAGTGATTTTAATTTTAATTCAAGGTTTTATCCCCTCTTGAAAACGGTCAGGTCACATTTCTCCATTCTTATTACAGTAAGTAGGCCTATGTGACAGAAAGGTCCTCTGATTAATCTCGGATAAGAAAGTATAATACATACTCCAAGTATTGAAATACACGCCATCGTATTAGGATTCAATATTTCAACATCTATTATGTCATCATCAGGCCTATGTGTGTATACGTTTAAAAAAATTGATTTCTACAGTAGTTGGCGGGAAATGCGCTTTTCCGATTTCTGAGGTGTCCTTTAATGACATTTAAGTCATTAAAAATTTAGGTTTCCCCTTTCTTGAAAAAGATTCAATGAATTCCGACTTATAATTTCCCATTGTAACAACAAAAATTTCAGCTCACGGGTCCAGAATGAATTATTTATTTATTTTTTTATTTATTTTTTTTTTGTTTGCCCAAGGTGTGGAGTCAGGACCCCTGACCCCTCCAGATCCGCCAGTGACTTTACCTTTCATTTTCTTTCCTCAATCAGATGTGGTTCTAACAGACTCAAAAGAAATAAAAATAACGATAACCACAAAATTGTAGAATCCGTCTTTGATGAATAGAAAACATCTTCGGATGAACTGAATTCTGGAGAGCAATTAAGCTGTTGTTCTTTCAAGGATCGAGGTTTTTGTTTTTTTACCACCTTTACATATTTTTGTGATATGAAGTGTAGGCCTAAGCCTTACATCTGTTTGAAATTGCACGTCTTAGAAATCGATCGATTCAACAGTTCACTTTTTAGATATCCCTTTATTGATATAAAGTGTAATACTACTAATAATAACACTAATGATAATACTATATTAACTATTACTTAGGCCTGTCTTTACAGAGATAACGTTAAATCTTGTCTAGTTCAGCAGCTGGTTACATTGCTTGAAAATGGATCCAGATATCTATTATGGTAAGATAGAACTATAACAATGTGTTGTAGTGATTTATTTTAATATTTTTGTTGATTTAAATATCAATTCAATACGAATATTGCTTAAAATATTGAAGTTACCACACATACAAAGGAACAAAGTAAGAACAAATTCAGACTGAGGTAAAATGTCAAATGAGGTTTTTTATTTTTTTAAACTAGAAAAAATATTGTATCTGTACAGTACTTAATGTGCAGTAGGTGTGACTATGCAACACCCTCTATAGTGCAGTACAGTAGCTGTAGGCCTACCAACGGTCATTTGGGGCCATTTTTGCCGGAGATTATTTCTAGGGAAATTTTTACTGATGCCTTTTTTCAGGGGCCATTTTTCCGGGGCCACTATATTCCACTACAGTGTTGTACTGCTGTACAATAATAATTTTCTATGTTTGAAAAGTGTGTAAAGAAGAACAAAATAGAACATTTTGAGTTGAATCGGCCAAAAATAAGAACACCGGAGTCTGGGCACAATTTCATTTCATTTCATTTATTTATTTTCCAGATTGTTACAAACATCAAAAACCTAGCAGTATTCTGGCGGATTGTCAGAAAGCAAACAAATTCACTGTGCAAAGACTTTCCAACTAGTACTAGAACAGAAACAAACTGGGTTTAATTAACATAAGCATGTTCTTATTTTTTTTTAAAAAAGTGTCATCAGAAGATTTTTCTTTATCTATACTGTATTATCAAATATTTTTATACTATTTTGTTCACCCTTCAGGCTTATCCCCGAAGGTAAGCTGATATTCAAGAGCCCTCTTAAATAGTTATTTATTATCAGCATAATGAAGTTGAAATATTGTTTGACCAACAATTATAACAGGCCTAATTACAATTTTATTAATTACGATCTATTTTATAGTTCGTGGGTAAATACATTTTGCGGTCAGAAACATTGAATTTGGAAACTACACATTAATATAGACCTATACTAAATATCAAAGATCCACATGCTTAGCCTATAATGGTGCTTAGATACTTCAGCTGTTTAGCACTAATAAAAGTGCTTAGGTATTTCAATACAACAATTAACTAATTTTTTTTAATCTTAAACACGTCAAGCAAAATCGAAAGCACATTAATAAGACTAAACATTTTTAGTTGTAAATATAGTGTGTAGACCTTTACATTATGTCATGGTATCATTCACTGTGACAGGAAATACACAAACCAGTCCTATTTTCCAATTTAATATGCATGGATTGTTTTAAATATATTTTCAGTTGAATCCATTAGCGAAAAGCTACTCGATCAAGCTTTTACCTTGTTGACGGACGGGATTAAGGATATACGCAAAAGTATTCAAGGTTAGTACTCTGTAATTAGATACACCCAGCAAAAAATATGTTTTTTCCTAAATATTGGGGTTTTTTTTAAGTACACAAAAACATAAAAATTATATGCCATCGAAATTCCATTTCTCTTTTTAATTATCACTGTAATTATGTCAAATGTCACTATTATTATTAGGCGGGAATTCTTTTATACCCTTTTTTCGCGAATTTATTTATTTTTTCAAAGGTCGCTGGAAGAGGGTGAAAGAAATAAAAATTAAATTTTGTTTTCTTATTTAGCAAATGGTTTTGCCAAATTCATCAAGACGGTGGAGAAAATATATGAAATGTTATTGTTGAATGTAAACGGTGTAGTAATTGGATGGTTAAATGCTGTATAATTTAAAAAAAAAAAAAGAAATACACTTACTGGTGTCTTATTTTTTTAAAGGCAGCAGTGGGCTTATTCAAATAAAGAAAAACTTACATTTTTACTGAAATGTCCATATGTTCATGGCGGCGTCGCGCTGATTGGTAAAAATAAAATTTTATTTTTATTCGAAATCATTATTGGTTGACGGCGCGTTCGCTAAACAAGGTATAAAAAAGGAGCCTTACCATAATCATTAGGCGTTTTGTGACATCTTCTGTTGGTATATTTTAATATAAAAAAGTACATGAGGGGCAGTGAACTATATACGGTATATTATGAGTTCTAGTATTTGTGAGTGTGTGTAGTTGTTCTACAGACATAGTATACACAGGAAGAACTTATTAGATATTCTCTAGTAAATATTGAAGTATGCTCGGCTCACGAACTTTCGGAACTTAGTTGGAACTTCACAATACTGGACCGGCCTAACACAATTCAACAATGTCAAAATCAATATTGATATTAATATTATTGATTATCGTGCCATATTTCAATCTTTAAAAAATCCTGGGTCAAAATTTCATGTTGTACACATTAAACAATAGAATATATCTTGTATAATTATTGCTCTATTATTTATTATTTTAGGCCGAATAATATCATTATTGTTATTATTATATTTAGGTGCCTCCGTTAACAGCGCCTTGATATTACATGCTATTGCATTTGCGACTAAAATACTTGATAAGTATCCCAGTATACCAGGTGAGTGTGTTGATATTCAATTAAAAGTTAAAATGTATATACGCATAATTATGTGACGAGATGTTTTGCCAAATACAAATACAACAAACATTTCGGCGCCACGTTATTTCACCGACACATGTTTTTGTCGACAGGATATTTTGCCGACAATAAACTTCGCCAAAAGCCAATTTGCCGAAAGTGAATTTGCTGACATGAAATTCTCAGACGGCCAATCCAATTGACAGCCAATTCGCCAAACATTTTTACAATTTAATTTATAATTAATAATTTTTAAAAATGTAAAATCATTACGGTATTTTTTTGATAGACATAATTATCTCCGACATCAAATTCTCAGACGGCCAATCCAATTGACAGCCAATTCGCCAAACATTTTTACAATTTAATTTATAATTAATAATTTTTTTAAATGTAAAATCATTACGGTATTTTTTTGACAGACATAATTATCTCCGACATCAAATTCTCAGACGGCCAATCCAATTCGTTGACAGCCAATTCGCCAAACATTTTTACAATTTAATTTATAATAAATAATTTTTTAAAATGTAAAATCATTACGGTATTTTTTGACAGACAGAATTATCTCTGACAGCTGCAACTCATACACAGGTAAAAGGGTATTTCTCTGACAGGAAATTTTGCAGACAGCGCATTTCTCCAACAATATAATTGATGTGAACATTGTGAAAAAAATCATTGGAACAGCTAGAAAGGACAATTAATGTTGTGGAGAGGTTTGCTGAATGTCGTGAGCACTATTACATCAGGATTGAACACATTCAAATGATGTTATACAAGCAGAAACAGTATCCACAAAAGAAAAAAAAAAAAAAAAACTAAATTCAAAATCAAAACAATAACCTTTAATTTATTTTATATAGTGCTACATGTAATGGTTCATTGCCTTTTTTTAAATAAAAAATAATTAGGTGAATTTTGTATTATTTATGCAAGATTTAGGGTTGCCTTCAGTGTTGGAAAAAACTTTCAATATTGTATCCCACACAATGATCATTTGAGGAAAGATATTATGCTTTTAAATAAATATGTACTATTGTTGTACATTATGACTGATTACTGGATTTCAAAGCAAATATCAGAGAATTGATATGCCGTTCATTGTCAATGTTCGAGAAACTTTATGTACTGTCAATGATATGTCCATCCGGTTTGTTCAAAAATGTATGTAGGCAAACGCAAAGGTAAAATTTTAAAAAAAAGTCAGCGAATTGCTTGTAGGTTGCTAATGTGTCGGCGAAAGTGCATTCAGCCAAAAGTCTCCCGGCGAAACGTCTGTCGGTGCATTGCCATTCGGCAAAAGTTACCAGCACCAAAATGTAAGGTTCCTGAAGTTAAAACATAACACAAAAAAAATTAACGATTTAATTACCGTAATACTTTATTGGTATATATATATGTTGTGGCTTGTCTATTGTAAACATGTTTGAATTTGATAATCCACAAGTAATAGGCCTACATGATCAATGTAATTTCGGTACTAACTGTTGTCGCGTGAACAGTGGGTGGTACATTGCGTATAACAACCACAACTTTTATTCATCAATACATCAAGTTGTTTGAATTACAGTCATTCTGCATTACAGCATTTTTGATATTTTGCCTTTTTTCTTGATTTTCTTATTTTTTAAACTTCTTTATTCTTATATAAACAATAAAATATGCAAATTATGTCGTCTAATTAAAATCATAAAAATTTTGCACTCAATGAATGTTAAATGAAAATTAAAGAAACAAAAATTAGTAAGCCTACATTGGTATAACAATGTGAAAACATTAATTGATTTTAATATATATATATATTTCAGATATTTCCATCCATGGAGAACTGCTATATCATGCCTTAACCGTGTTAACGAAAAAAGTCAACGATGTATGGGAAAGTATTCAAGGTTAGTACTTGGGTATTGGATGTATATATATATATACATATTATATATATATATATATAAATATATATACACATATGTAAACAAATAGATGAATAATAATACAGGAATAGGAACATGTAATGACGTCACATAGAGCAAAAACATCACTCATATGATTCCTGACATCGAAATCGAAAGTTGGGGTAGGCCTATACTCCTAAGCCAGCAACACATCCCAACTTGACAGTTATGATTAGTGTCTCCATCACATTGTCAACATCAATATCATTTTCATTATTGCCCTTGTCATCATCATCTTCAGCAACATCATCATTATTATCACCATCTTGTTTATTCTCATCATCCTAATTATTTTTATACTTGTTCTGGTCGTGTAATTAAAAACATTTTCCGGGTAGGATTATTGTAAAGTCAACCTCATTCAAACAATGCACATTCCCTCCTCCATATACCCTATCGGAAAAATCTGGATAGACCCCCGATTTTAGTGCTTTACAGGTAGCTATACTTTTGTTACCTGTAGATCTGTAGTCTATCTGCTTATAAGGTAAATATTGGTAAAAACCTACTGTAACAAAAGCAAACACATCACATATTTGTTTAAAAAAACTTTAATATTTATTCAAGTGATAGGCCCTAGTAGGCTTAGATAATAATAATAATTATAAAATTTATAAGGCGCACATATCCACTGCACTAGTGCTCAAGGCACTAACCCAGAGTGTCATTAACAAGTTATTAATGTCTCAATTCGAACGAATTCGGAAAGTTAAAAATCGAACAAGTCTTTTACTCCAAATTCAAAAGGTAATTATTAAGATTATTAAATGATCTAATTTAATTAATTTTACATCTAAAATAAGACTATTCTTTGGCCGAATTCGGAAAGTTACGTTAAATTTCAGACATTTTTTTTACTCCAAATTCAAAAGATAATTATTAAGATTTAGTTTATTGTAATGTACTGAACGTCTCCCTCGAAAGAGCAGAGATTTTACCGAGAAGACTATACTACTGAAAGTAGTTTAAGAAATAAATAGGCTGTGTTAACATGTCGGAAATTATTCTATTTATCAACATAAATTCTAAATATATGGCCTGTTTAGGTTTCTTTCACTTTAATGATAATAGTTTTGTACTTACATCTCAATTATTTATTTCTTTTCCCACTCGGTAACCTGATCAGTGCAAAAGCATGGTTATTAATTGTTACCTTACATTTCGGCTTCAGGCCTAGACGCGAAAATAACGGGATAATTTCCGATAGAAATAACACTATACAATAACTTAGTAAAAACATACGATAACACATTACAGTAGCAATCAATATTCCTGCCCCGGAACTTAGACTCAGAACCAGGATGCAGCGGGGTGTCAGTAGAAAATAATATATTTTACAATAAACAATTTCATAAATTAGGCCAAAAAAAAAATTGTGTGTTGACCACGTGGGAAAATCCAAAAACTGGGTAGGTCGGTAGGAAAACTTGTTTTTTTAATTTTATTTTTTTTAAGAACCAAAAATATGTTTATGCTTAAAAAGTAAAAAATTACACAAACATACAACAATTTTGGATTCGCATCGCGTACCATCAAGTAAAATAGGCTTTGCCTTGACCCCCTAGCCTGACCAAGGCTATTTCAGTATTATTTGCTAATAAAACAAAATATTGTTCGTTGTAGTCAAGGGGGAAAAAAGCTAATATGCCGACCTCGAATTTGGTAAAATTTGGATCGGTCGGGCGTAGCCAACAAAACAATTTTTTTTTTTGGCCTTAGTTCGGCCTGGGATGATGTCTAGCTGCAACCAGTCTGAGTAGTATGTGCATCAGCAGTATGGTATTGACATCATAGTAAGAAATGCTGATTTATATCCGTCAAAGTCCCCAACGGTACTTTGAATCAGGGAACCTTACAGTGGGATATAGGCACCCCACGCACTTTCTCTCATAAAAAATAATTAGGTAAATTTTGGATTATTTATGCAATGCAGAATTTAGGGTGACAATGATAAACGCCCTTATATTTTTCAGTAGGTCTACATAGATATAACGCAACAGAGCGACGGTTTGTAATCTCAGATTATCTTATTGTTATTATTGTGTAATTATTGTTATTTTTATTGTTAGATGAATCCATTGACAGAACGATGCTATTACGTGCGATTCCAATCTTGACGCAAAGGCTTCAATATATGCTTAAACATAAACGAGGTAAATGTTTTGGTATTCAATTGGAAGTTAAATTAACTACACATATTTTGATGTCATTAAAAATGTTAAAGTTTAAAGACCTATTCAACCTATTATATAAAATACTAAAAATTAATGTGATTACCAATGAACATATTATGACTCAATCTAATTGAATGTATGAGGCTTTACTAATTGCGGGTTTTCCCCTCTTTGATTCCTACTTATTAGAGGAATATCAATGTTTCAAGGACCATGCCTTAGAAGGTATAAAAATCTTAGTTAAAACGTCCGCTAATACCAATAAATCTACTATTGTAAATGGGACCAACTACACCGTTGGGACAGAGACAAAAAGAAGCCAACATGAGAAGTATAAAAAACTGACTAGTGACAGTCCCATTATCAGACCAAAATTGTGAGTACCTATATTAATTCATATCGTTAAATAGTTTTGATAAAATGATCCATGTATATTTAGACAGGTTATTTATTTATACCTTAAGGATTATCTTAATGTTTTAAAAAGTATATCCATACACCCTAATGGGAGAAGCAAAATTGAATTCATTACTTCTACATAATACATCATATACAAAATTTAAGTAATAATTATACTAACAAACGCTCGAGTTAAGTGTTCTGTTTCAATGATTTTGATGTTGCAGATTAACAGTTATATTGTATAAATTTATAACTTATAACTTGTTAATATTTATGTGATTTATTTATTTGTTTCGCTTTATGAAGGCGAAGTGAATACGAAGATGAGACGCCCACCGACCACTCGACTGATGCTGAGAGTGACTCACTGCCCAAGTATGATTATGGCACAGATAGTCAACCTAAGACGCCTTCAATCATCGGATACTCAACTGATGCTAATAAAACGATATTACCTTCTATTGTTGTCAATGGCGACCAACTACACAGTTACGATAGAGACAAAAACTGGCAACATGAGAAATATCAAAAACCAACTAGTAACAGTCCCATGATCATTTCTAAATCGTGAGTACTTATAATTCATAACTTATTATTACTTTTTGACTACATGATCCATGAATTGTTCTACACGTTATTCATGTATACCTGAAGGAATATCCTAAAATGTTTAAAAAAAAATATCTATCATACAATGTAACGCTCTAATTGTAGAAAGTCGAATTGAATTTATTACTCTACTTAATATATCTTATAGAAATATTAGTATTAATATACTGACGAACGAGTAGGTGTTCTGTTTTTTATGATTTTGATACTACAGAATGAAAGCTATATTGTATATATTTATTATATACCGGTACCAATCGCTTATTAAATATTCCTATGATTTTATTCATTTCGCTTTATCCAGACGAAGTGACGAAGACAGTCAGTTTGAAACATCCTTAATCATTGATGTCACGAAAGACTTGGTATCTGTGCTGGATGATGGCGAAGATATTCAACTTGAAGTGCCCTCAATTACCAACAACACAACTGATGCTAAGCACGAATCGCTCTCAAAGTTGAATTATGGTGAAAATAACCAACTTGAGACTCCTTCAATCACCAGTCACTCAACTGATGATAATGATGAATCACTATCAGAGTTGAATGGTGGCGAAGATAATCAACTTAAGACGCCCTCAGTCACCGATCACTCAATTGATGCTAAGGATAACTCACTATCCAAGTTGAATGGTGGAGAATGTAAACAACTTGAAACGTTATCAATCACTAATCACTCAAATGATGCTAAGAATGACTTGCTATTCCCGTTTGATGAAGGTGAAGATGACCAACCTGAGATTCCCTCAATAGCTATTGATCCCTCTGGTGATGCTGAGGATGGCTTAATACCTAAGTCGGATGAAGGCAAAGATAATCAACTTGAGATGCCCTCAATCACAGATCATTCAATTGATGGTAAGGATGACTCACTATCCAAGTTGAATGGTGGCGAAAATAATCAACTTAAGACGCCCTCAGTCACCAATCATTCAACTGATGCTAAGGATGACTCATCCAAGTGTAATGGTGGAGAATATAATCAACTTGAAATGCCTTTAATCACCGATCATTCAACTGAAGCTAAGAATGACTCGCTATCTCCGTTGGATGAAGGTTATAAAGATAACCAACCTGAGATTCCCTCAATAGCTATTGATCCCTCTGGTGATGCTGAGGATGGCGTAATACCTAAGTCAGATGAAGGCAAAGATAATCAACTTGAGATGCCCTCAATCACCGATCGTTCAATTGATGGTAAGGATGACGAACTATCCAAGTTGAATGGTGGTGAAGATAATCAAATTGAGATGCCCTCGGTCACCGATCACTCAACTGATGCTATGGATGACTCATCCAAGTTGAATGGTGGAGAATGTAATCAATTTGAAATGCCTTCAATCACCGATCACTCAACTGATGCTAAGAATGACTCGCTATCTCCGTTGGATGAAGGTATATATAACCAGCCTGTGACTCACTTAATAACCATTGATCACTCTGCTGATGCTAAGGATGACTTAATACATAAATCGCATGAAGGTCATGATAGTCAATTTGAGACGCCCTCAATTACTGATCACTTAACTGATGCTACGGATGACTCTCTGTCAAAGTTGGATGACAGCAAAGCTAATCAATTTGTGATGCCTTCATTCACCTGTCACTCAATTGATGCTAAGGACGACTCACTAACCAAGTTAAATGAAGGCAGATATATTCAACATAAGATGACCTCAACCACCAATCACACACCTGATTTTGATAAAGAATCAAGTAGCAGTCCTGGTATCAGGTTTATAACGTGAGTACTCAAAAGAATTAGCAAATAATAATTTATGCTAAAATGTTCGGTGATTTTGTAGGCCTATATAGATCCATATAATATTTTGTCCATAACCGAAAGAAAGTGTTCTTAATGTACCATACTGTTATGCAATTTTACACAAAAAAGGAGTCATATTAAATGTAATAGGCCTACATATTTATTATTATTATTATTATTATTATTAATATTATTATTATTATTGTTATTATTATTGTTATTATTATTATTGTTATTATTATTATTATTGTATATTTATATAGTGCATACTTTATATACTTTCATATTTATTTATACATAATTAACATTACTAACATGCTTACCCACGAGTATTTTGTCTGTTTTTATGTTTATGATTACGTTCAAGCTTTTCTGCATTTCGTATCTATCATTTTCTCAACAATAAAGTTCTCAACAATAACATTACTAACATGCTTACCCACGAGTATTTTGTCTGTTTTTATGTTTATGATTACGTTCAAGCTTTTCTGCATTTCGTATCTATCATTTTCTCAACAATAAAGTTTTTAAATCTCTTATTATAATCTATAATCCTCTTTATGTTATTATGTAGCAGCACTGCATTTCATTGGATAATTCCTGTGATTTTGGCCAACTTTTGCATATGTGTTGTCAATGCAAATCCAGACTTCATCTACCAACCACCAGCACTGGTTACTGCTAAAGAAGGGAACTCGATGTCCTTGTCATGTATCTTAAATTCTGAAGCAGAATCTTTTAAAGTCGTCTGGACAAAGGACTCATATTACATCAATAATCCAACAAAGTTTGACCAAGATCGCTTTAAGGAAACAAACGAAACAGCTCGACATTATAAACTGATAATTAATCCTGTAACGAGAGAAGATGAAGGAACATACAAATGCGTTTCTATTCTTGGAGATGTGCGAAAGAAAACAATATTCACATCTGGTTGTCAGTTGAAAGTTATGAAGGTGCCTGGTCCTCAATACCCACAAGTAATTCTCTCAAAGAGTCAGTACAGCCTTGGTGAAGATATCGTTGCTTATTGTATTAGTGAGCGAGTTGATCAACCATCAGAGATAACCTGGATTGGTAGTCCAGGCAAAAATAAGCCATTTCAGAATGATTCTCATGTCGGTATAGAAAATCGCATTGAAGCAAGTGAAAAGCTGAATCAAACTTCGTTTCTCTGCAAAATGAAAGTACATAAAGTATTATTTGTTCCGAGGTTTAAACGCTCGATGCCGATTGTAGTCATGCCTTCTCTACAAGAAGCTGGTAATCATTCTGAAAGCAAAGGCATTACTGGATCTACACCTACTACCATTGCAACTAGACACAGTAAAACTACAGTTGGTTCTGGAGGGAGAATAGCATACATATCGTTATTAACAATATTTACATGTTTGATCTTTTTGCCACTGATTATGTAGTAATAATAATAATAATACTAAGAGTAGATTAATAATACTGTATTAAAGTCATTGTTATTGGTACGGTAACAATTGTCAGATATGGCAGTGAAATTTTTCGGCTTACGTTACATTTAATGAAATTACATTATTATTATATTAGTGAAGAATTGAAACAATGCAGTGTTTTTTAGTTGATATCATGCATTTAATTTTAATAAGTAAAGTATTATACTGTAGTTCTTAATATGCAATTTTATCCTAAGTATAGGTGTTATGAGAATATAACGCATGAAAGCATACAGGTACCATTATAACTATATATATATATATATATAGGTGTGTATATATATATATATATATATATATGTATATATATATATATATATATATATA